CGTTTCGCCTGAGACATCCTCGAAACTCTGACCTCGGAGATGCCGCGCGAGAGGTGGTCCGGCCCGTTTCGCCTGAGACATCCTCGAATGTCTGAGCTCTGAGATGCCCTGCGCGAGGTGGTCCGCCCCGTCTCGCTTGAGACGTCCTCGCAACTCTGAGCTCTGAGATGCCGTGCGCAAGGTGGTCTGGCCTGTTTCGCACAAGACATTCTCGCAACTCTGAGCTCCCATATGCTGCGCAAAGTGGTCCAGCCTGGGGGCCCAGAAGACCACATGTTACACATCCTCCCTGGGAGCCCCAGGAGGCCCCAGAGAGCTCCAGGAGGCCGCAGGACGCCCAGGACAGGCCCCAGGGGTCCCCAGGGGATTCCCAGGAGGCTCCCAGGAGGCCCCATGAGGCCCCCTATCAGAACGTGTCAAGTTAATACACATCCGGTGTCGATTCGTTGATTTTTCCTGCTCTTGTGCCCCCCCCTCCATTTTGAGGGGCCCAAGCGGCCACAGGTTAGATATCCCCCCTGGGAGCCCCAAGAGGCTTCAGGAAGCCCCAGGTGGAGTTCAGGAGGCAACAGAACTCGGAGCTCTGAGACGCCGCGCTCGAGGTGGTCCGGCCCGTTTCGCCTGAGACTTCCTCGCAGCACGTTTCGCCCGAGACATCGTCGCAACTCTGGGGTCCGAGATGCCGCGCGCGAGGTGGTCCAGCTCGTTACGCTGGAGACATCCTCGCAACTCTAGGCTCCGAGATGCCATTCGGGATGAAGAGGAGGTGGAGGAGGAGGAGGAGGAGGAGGAGGAGAAGGAGAAGGAGAAGGAGATGGAAGGGAGAAGGAGGAGGCGGATGATGTGGATGAGGGAGCAGGCAGTAGGAGGTAGAGGAGGAGGAGGAGGAGGAGGAGGAGGAGGGAGAATGAAGGTAATTGTAGGATAGGACCTAACGGGAAGCGAGTGTGACGTGGACTTGTCAGAAAGTGTGCGAGAGGTTGTCCGGCCCGTTTCGTTTGAGACATCCTTCCAATATTGAGCTCCAAGATGTCGCTCGCGAGGTGGTCCGGCCCGTTTCGATTGAGCCATCCTCGCAATGCGAGGTTCGAAGATGTTGCGCGCGAGATGGTCTGGCCCGTTCTGCCTGAGACGTTTCGTAGCACAGGGGCTCCAATCACAACCTCTCGCATTGCTTTTCCCGCCTCCCTCTTCCCACTTCCCGCCTGGCTCCTCTTCCCTCCTCCCTCCTCCCGCCTCCCGCCTCCCGCTGCTGCGCCTCTGCCTCCGCCTCCCCGTCCCCGCCGTCGTCGTTTCTGCCGCCTCAGCATCCGTCATGCGCGCATTGCCTTCCGCCCTCCCCAGACATCCGACGTCACGATTTTTCTTTTGAGACGTGCGCCGCGTACCTCTCGATATCATCCCCGGGGGAACCGTCACGACATGCCCCCCCGCTTCCGCGCCCTCCCCCGCTTCCTCTTACAGTTGCTTCCGAGTTCACAGCATGGCGGCGGAGCCTCTCACAGTGCCGACCCGACAGCTTACTCGTCGACCAGGTGCGAGAGAGTACGACACCCTCTATCGTTAGCTTCCTGATAGGTATGCATCACACAAGTTTTCGTGCAAACATCTCATGTGCAAACATAGTGTAATCATGTTCTAACATGCCATGCCAGTCCGCACTGGACGGGCACGCAATCGACCTTGGAGACCGCAGTGGGTCTAAAAACCCTGTTTGGGGATACTGCACTCCGGCTATGATTGGTTTTCTTATCGGCTGGCTGGCTGACAGCTCGGTTGACTGGTACGTTGTCTAAGTTATCCAGTTTGCAATTGATGTATGCTGCTTGCAGGCTGGCTGGTTGCGCACGTCTGAAATAATTAGCGGGGATGGTGCCCTCGGGGGCGCGCTTCAATTACAATCTACGAGGGGGTGGGGCCTGAGGAGCGCTCACCCCAGCTGTGCACAAGGATCCGTGGCCTCGAGCCCCGAGCTGAATTTTCAGGAAACGAAGGCGGGGGCGAAAAGGCCCCCCCGAATCCCAATACAAAGCATTCTAGTTTTCCTGCTCTGGAGGGCGGTGGCGTTTTGTTGGCGGCATCCGTGGGTTGGGTGCGTGGCCTCGGAAACGCCAGCGCGTGTTAATGTACAAAGGATTGTGGTCTCGGAAACGGGAACCTGGCATGCTTTATGCGGGATTGTGGCTTGGGGAGCGTGAGCACGGTGTCATGTATCATGGATTGTAGCTTTCGGACCGCCAAGACGTAGCATTTCCCAACCAACCGTTGTTTTGAAAAGACAGTGCCCCGCGTCTCCTTGCTTGCTTCCCTCCGCTGCCCTCCCCCCTCCCTCCTCCCCGTCCGCCCGCCGCTGCTCCCCGCATGTCTATTTCGGAGCACCCCTTTCACGCTTCCTGGCCCCATATGGAGCTCCACTAAAGGCTCTCAAGCGGCTCTTCGCCCATTCTGTCTCACCCTTCACACGCTTCGTGGCCCCACAGGGAGCTCCACCGAAGGCACCAGCTTGGCCACCCAAAGGATTTTACCGACGACCTGAGTGGCATGGTGCGCATGCGGCGCATGCGGCTCCGCGCCCATTTCGGCACACCACTCGCATGTTTCGTGGCCCCGTAGGGGGCTACACCGAAGACCATCCTCAAAACTGCGGCATTCGGGGGCGCAAACTTGTTCAATATATTGGAAAGGCCTTACAGCCGGTGCAGCCGACTCTGAAGGGGGACGACGACGACGACGAGGACGACGACGCCGACGCCGACGACGACGACGACGACGACGACGACGGCGACGGCGACGGCGACGGCGACGGCGACGGCGACGGCGACGGCGACGGCGACGGCGACGGCGACGGCGACGGCGACGGCGACGGCGACGGCGACGACGACGACGACGACGACGACGACGACGCTCACGCTCTGGAGCCCTTGGGGCACTCTTGGGAGCCTATTGGGCTCTGTTGGGGGCCGCTTGGGTGACTTCGTGGGAAGCTCTGTGGCCATTTGGCAACAAAGAAGAGATGATACGAGTGAGGAGGGGGGGGGGGGGGAATGTCCAGGAGGAGGGGGGGGCCCTTGCCCACCGGAGGGAGGCCAGGGGGAGGGGTCCTGAACTCCTTCTGCCCACGTGGGGACCACCCCCGCGTCCCCCTTGTCCAAGGGAGAGACCCCCCAGGGGGAGGTCACGACCCCAGCGGCAGGGTTCGCTTGCAGCTCCCCGCCCGTGTCGGCACACCAGTCACATGTTTCGTGGCCCCATAGGTGGGCTTCACCGAAGACGATCCTCAAAACTGCGGCACTCAGGACTGCACATGGTTGGGCCCTTCGCCAGGATCTTGTTCCCAACCATCCTGTGGTCTTGGGTCTTCGTTTTGAGGAGACAGCGCCCCACGTTCACTCCTTCCTCCTCATCCTCCCCCTCCCTCCTCTCATCCCTGCATCGTTTCTGTTTCGGCACACCCCTCATGAACGCCACCGAAGGTCCCAGTGCTGCAATTCGCATGTGGGCGTCACGCCCGTTTCGGCACACACACACACACACACCTCACACGCTTCGTGGCCTCATAGGGAGCGCCACCGAAGGTCCCAGTGGCGCAGTTCGCATGTGGGCGTCACCCCCGTTTCGGCACACTCCTCGCACCTGTCGCGGCCCCGTAGGGAGCCCCACCGAAGGTCCCAGTGGTCGCGTGTGGGCGTCGCGCCCGTTTCGGTACACACCTCACGCCTTTCGTGGCCCCGTCGGGAGCCCCACGGAAGGTCCCAGTGCTGCAGTTCGCGTGTGGGCGTCACGTCCGTTTCGGCACACACACACAAACACACACACACACACACACACCTCACACGCTTCGTGGCCTCATAGACTCATAGGGAGCTCCACCAGAGGTCACAGTGGCGCAGTTCGCATGTGGGCGTCACCCCCGTTTCGGCACACTCCTCACACGTTTCGTGGCCCCATAGGGAGCTCCAGAGAAGTTCCCAGTGGCGCAGTTCGCATGTGGGCGTCACCCCCGTTTCGGCACACCCGTCACACCTTTCGCGGTCCCGTAGGGAGCCCCACTGAAGGTCCCAGTGGTGCAGTTCGCATGTGGGCGTCGCGCCCGTTTCGGTACACCCCTCACGTTTCATGGCCCCGTAGGGAGCGCCACTGAAGGTCGCAATGCTGCAGTTCGCATGTGGGCGTCACGCCCGTTTCGACACACCCCTCATGCGTTTCGTGGCCCCGCAGGGAGCGCCACCGAAGGTTCCATTGGCACACTTCGCATGTGGGAGTCACGCCCGTTTCGGCACACCCCTCAGACGCTTCGTGGCCTCACAGGGAGCTCCACCGAAGGTCCCAGTGGGAGGGTGAGCTATGCGATCCGTGCAGTGTACCAGGCCTCTCGTCCTTTGCTCGGCTCCTCCAGTTAGCAGGAGCTCAGAATCCCACAATGGCGTGACGGCTAAGAATAGCCCTGGTTTTGGAAGGTACCCTTCCCTCCTTCGTGTTGTGGGCTCTCCGCCTTGGGGTGCTTTTCGTTCGGGCTCTGTGCATGGTGCCCTGGGCCTCTGGCAAAGGGGCCCCATCTTCTCATTTCGACTGTATCTCAGGCAGCACAAGTAGGACGAGGTGTTGCGTGTGGGGGGGGCAGCTGCGAGGCCAGGTGCCTGCGCATGTCAACCTGCGGGGGCGCACAGATGACAGCGCTCCGCGCCGCGCGGCTGGGGCCGGTTCAGGGGCGCGTTGCAGAATGCAAAGCGCGAAGGTGGGTGCTCGAGCTTATCCGAGGCTGTGCGGGATTTTCTGAGGGCCTCCACGGCGGTCGGGCGGAAGACCGTCCTGTGAGAATTTCGGAGCTTGCAGACCCCAACGGCGGCGATGACGACGACGACGGCGACGACGACGATGTCGGCAGCGACGACGACGACGGCGGCAGCGACGACGACGACGGCGGCAGCGACGACGGCGGCGGCGGCGCCGGCGGCGACTGCGGCGACGGCTCTGGTCGCGCCCGCCCCCACTTGCAGGAGCGGCGCCGAGCGAGAGCTGTCGCGAAGCAGCTCGACGTCGACGATCTCCATCTGAAGAGAAGGAGCGCCGCCGCCGAATGGCAGTCGCTGCTCCTGCGGGGGCTGCCCATGCGCGGGTCCGTTTGGCGGCTCACTGGTGCTGCCCACCTTGCTTCGTCCGCCGAAGCCTTCCTCCTCGCAGCAGTGCTGTGAGATGCCCCCTCGCCCGCCAGGAGGGTTCCAAGGAAGCCGCCGCTGGTGGTAGTCTGCTCATGCGGGGGAGCCCCGCCCCCGCGAGGCCCGCTCTGACGCCCCCTGGTGCTGCCCGCTTGTTGCCGTGAGGAAAGGGGTCCCGAGGTCGCTCGCCGCGTTCGGCCTCCTGGCGCACCTCCGAGGGCTCCAGAGCCGTGAAGAACCAGCTCGGGGAAAGCCCCTCGGGTCCGGGACCTGCTTCCCTCAGGGCACTTCTCCCTCGCGCCCTCTGGTTCTGCCCACCTGGCCTTCGCCCGCTGAAGCCCCCTCCTTGCAGAGATGCTCAGTCGGCCCCCCAGGAGGGCCCCAAGCCAGCCCAGCACCAGCCAAGCAAGCGCCCAAGAGGAGCCATGAAAGGCCCCGACTGGTCCCAAAAGGGCCCCAACTGACCCCAGATATGGCCGTGATGGGCGCCCCCAGTCTGGTCACGTCAGTCGTTTTGCACCGCCCCCCCCCCAGATCCGTAAGGTCCGCGCACTTTTTGGGTAGCGGCGCGGTGACGTGGGACACGAGGCGTTGAAGAACAGCAGCCAGGCCGCTGCTGGGCAAATTGTGCACTTGTGCAAGCGGAAAAGTACGAGAGCAGCCTCGGCACCAGGGGTCCACGCACACGCTCCTCGTCTTGGGCCTCCCCCCAGCGCTGGGGTCGGGGCGGGGGGAGGAGGCGCGAGGAAGGAGAGGAGCGCGAGGGAGAGGGCGCGGGGTGGACAGACGCCCTTTGGGAGAGAGGCGAAGAGCGAGGAAGGCAGAGAGGAGGCATGGCATCGGCACGTCACTGCTTCTGCGCGCCGACTTGAATGTCGATGCCAGCAGTTTAGTACTCATGTTGCCGGTTGCCTCCCTGCTCCGGTCAAATCATTGCCGCAGTTCGCATGTATTCGCGGAGCGTTGTACAGGTTACCAGGAGATCGGAAATGCACTCCCGCCCCGTCGCCGCACAGCACAGATTGCCGAGAGTTGGCGGCGTGGGGCGTACAGTGATGTGCAGCACCTAGCTTTTTAAGAGTAGGGTAAAGGCCAAGGTGCCCCGATCGTTGCTCCCATGCTCAGCCTGCTCGATTTCATCCTCTCTACCTTTTTAACTAAGATCTCAGCTTCATTGAGCCCGCAGAGCGGGAGTCACGGCAGGCCCCCAATGGGAAACAAACACGCAAGTTTCGCAATCGGTGGGCGTTCGGGGGTATGGCTTCGACGAGGCTCGATACCAGTCGTTGCAGTTCTTCTCTTGGAGTCTCATCTTGGCTTCACCTGGCATGTTTGGGGGCGACTTGGCGTCCTTTGGGGAGTGTGGGGGCCGTTCTGCAGTGACGGTGCAAATCGTTGAAATGTGTTGCTTCTCGAGGGGCTTCCGTGAGGCCATCTTAGAACATCGTGCAACCATCTTGGGCGCGTTCGGGCTTATTGGGGCTTCTCAGGACCTGTGGGAGTCCAGCGGACACAAAGTACATGAGGGGCGCGTGCACGAGGTGTGTGTGTGTGTGTGTGTCGATTTGTATGTGTGTGTGTTGTGTGTTGTGTATTGTATATGTTGTGTGTTGTGTGTGTCTGTGTGTGATTACGTGTGTGTGTGTGTGTGCGTGTGTCTGTGTGTGTCTGTGTGTGTGTCTGTCTGTCTGTGTGTGTGTCTGTGTGAGTGCCTGTGTGTGTGTCTGTGTGTGTGTCTGTGTGTGTGTGTCCGTGTGTGTGTGTGTGTGTGTGTGTGTGTCAGTGTGTGTCCGTGTGTGTGTGTGTGTCTGTGTGTGTGTGTGTGTGTGTGTCTGTGTCTGTGTCTGTGTCTGTGCGTGTGCGTGTGCGTGTGTGCGTGTGTGTGTGTGTGGGTGTGGTGTG